TATTTTTATTTATTTATTTTGGGATTTATGCCCCACCCTATCAGGTAGCTCTATTCTATCCAAAATACTTTTTCCTGTTCAGGTTCTTAGATTACTGAAATGTGGTGTTACTCCACTCAAAGCCCAGTGAAATCAGTGGCTTAGACTGGAATAGCTCTGCATAGGATTGCATTGCTAGCCCCTTCCTGTCGAGGAACCATTTAATGCCTGTCTATAAAATATTTCTTCTCCTTTGCAGACATTAAAATTAACAGATATTAGCCATCTCTGATAATTATTCAGCTAAGGATCTAAACAAACTTGGCATGTTCCAAGCACAAACTTCATTTGTTTAAACCTAGACCTGTCAAATGCATGGATAGCATCCGTTAGCAGCCAAGGAAGTGAATTATTGTTTCCTTTTCCAAGCAACCTATTTTCTTCCCTTTCTCACCAACCCCACAGCAAATTGCTCAGGTCTTTCTGTGACAGGGTGCATTAGGCTGGGTCAGGAGAGAAGGGACTGGGGAAGGGAGAAGGGAGCAGAGAAGAAGGGAAGACAGCATATGGGCTGCACAAGAATGGGAGGGGGTGAGACGAGGACAGCAGTGATGGTGGAGGGTAAACTTTCCAGCAAGGTGAAGCTCCACTGCCGGTGCCACCTTACCCAAGAATAGCCTCCTCCTCTGCCATCATCACCATCTTCTTCTCACTCCCCCTGCCATAATTGGGGCAGGGGCAGCCCATGTCTCATTCATCTATGGTTGCCAACTCAGGGTTTGGCAATTCCTGGATATTTGAGAGTGGAGTCTTGGGAGGGCAGGTTTGGGGAAGGCAAGGATCTCAGCAGGGTATAAAGTCCATCCTCAAAAGAAGCCATTTACTCTATAGTCTAGAGATGGGTTGTAATTCCGAGAGATGTTCAGTCACCACTTATCTCTCCACCTAGGGTTGCCAAGTCTTACCTGCTGCTGGAGCGGGGGGCTCCCGGCTTGTTCCCAGAGCGCGCGCGCCGCAACCCAGTCACCCGGAAGTGACGCGGCCATGCTAGGCACGCTGGGGGCGGGGCCACGACAATCCAAGGGAAAACCATAGAGTTTTCCCTCGGATGACTGTGGCCTTGCCCCCAGCATGCCTGGCGTGGTCGCGTCACTTCTGGGTGACGTGCACGTTGCATACTATGGGGGTGGGGTTCCCCCCCGGGGCCTGATCCGCCAGCGGTGGGACTTGGCGGGGGACTTTGGGGGGGGGACTTGGCAAGCCTATCTCCACCTCCCCAACCCCGTCTCTCCTTGCTCAGTTTTTGGCAGGAGGTCTGGGCTGGTCACCAGGAAGTAGTCAGGAAAAGGAAGAGAATAATCATGCATTTGGCAAAGGAAATGGCAGCAGCAACAGCAATGGTGAAACCGTTGATGGTGTATATATATTCAACAGCAGCAGTGCGGTTAAGCAGAAAGACATGACACCTGCATGACCTTGTAAGCATACTTTTAAAATGCAACATCTGGTTAAGAATCCCCCCTCCCAAATGCCAGCACCAGTTATTAAAACATTAATGCCTGAACCTAATCCTATTTATTTATTTATCAAATTTATACCCCACTCTCCCAGCCAAGGCCAGCTCAGGGCGGTTTACATAAAAATAAGACACATAAATAAATAACAGTTAAAACAGTCCTAAAACCCTAACGGTTTCCCCCTAATGGTTTCTGGTCTGACATTTCAGACAGAACCGTTTTAGTAACGGTTCCCTACCAGAATATATTTTCACTTTCAGACAGAAATGCTTATTTCCCGTTAAGGAAGCATTTCTGAACTGTTTTACCTGCAAACTGCTTCCAAGCGACCTTCACTTTTCTATACCGTTTCTGAAGCACTATGTGGTGCTGTTTAAAATGCCCCGTAGTGCTTCCTATGGCACCGCTTTGTTTTCCCACCCTTTTCTGCCCGCGGGGGCTATCTCCATTCTTTTTTTAAACGTTTGTTTTAGAGTGCTATACTGCTATAGTGCTATAACACAACCCCAAAACAGTAACCCTATTGGAATGCCTGGACTCCACTGGGATACATGAGATGGCTATATCTGCCACCTGGAAACAAGTACCTCATTGGACAGCAGGCTTTGGTGGGAAATCAGGGCATCAGTGATTGGTGTGACAGATGTTGCTAACCCTTCCAGGCCCACTGAGAGTCAGGTGAAGGTGATGGGTTTTCAGGTTGCCAGCTGGGAAGGCTATGTGAAATGGCAGCCTTGTACCGGTTTACTCCAAGACGGTACAATAATGGCTTAAAAACAGCTTAAAAAGGGTAATGTGAAATTCCCCATCATATCTTTATGTAAACAAACATACAAGATAAAAGAACAACATATGTGAAAGACTGTGCTGCGGCCGGGGGAAGCCGGAGAGCGCCGCCGCCGGGTCCCCCAGGCCTATGCAAAAGTGCTGCAGCTCGGGGGAGGCCCAGAGAGCACTGCCCCCGTGTCCCCCGACCTCACACAGAAGCGCTGTGGCTGGGAGAATGCCCGGAGAGCCCCGCCGCCAAGTCCCCCAGGCCTGCGCAGAAGCACTGCAGCCAGGGGATACCCAGAGAGCCCCGCCGCCACCAGATCCCCCAGGCCTGCACAGAAACGCTGCAGCTCGGGGGAGGCCTGGAGAGCCCTGCCGCCGGCTTCACTGGCCCCTGCCAAAGCAGTAAGTAAGGGATCCGTGGGGGTGGGGTGGTGGGGGCTTGCTGGGGGGTGGTGAGAGAGCCTCCCTCCCGCCCTTCCTCCATCTCTTTGCCATCTTTCCCTCCTTTCCTTTTCTTTCCCTCCTTTCCTTTCTCTTCCTTCCTCTTTTCCTCCTTTCCTTCTCTCTTTCTTTCATTCCATCCTTTCTTTCTCTCCCTTTTCTTTTTCCCTCCTTCTTCCCTTCTCTTTATTTATTTCTTTCCTGCTTTCTTCTCTCCTCTTTTTTCCTCCTTTCCCTCCTTCTTCCCTTCCCTCTCTTTCTTTCCCTCCTTCTTTCCTTCTCTTTCTTTCCATCTTTCCTTCTCTCTTTTTATTCCCTCTTTCCTTCCTTCTTTCCTCCTCTCTCTTTTCCTCTTTCTTTCCTTCTGTCTACTCTCTCTCTTTCCTTCCCTTCTGTGGCCCAACCTTCTCCCCCCCCCCCCAGGCCAGCTGGGGAAGGGGAGGGGAGGCTTTTGAAGATGCCTCCCCCCCTTTTGCTTCCCCTTCTGACATCACTTCCGGTGATGTCACGGGGCCTAGTAGCTCATTAGCATACCATATGCTAATGAGCTCCTGCAGCTCTTTTTCTACAAAAAGACCCCTGCTCAACATCAAGGCAGCCTCTACACAAGTTGCGTTTAGGGTGCCTGAGGCTGAGTCACCACCAGAATGAGCAGCAGTCTTCAGAGGGGCTCTTGCTTCAGGTATAAAGAGGTTAGCATGATCCAAAGCAGAACTTGGGTCTTTTGGAGACAGTGCAGTGATGGAATAACTTTCCTAGGCCCCATAAGGCTACTCACCACTTATTTTAACCTGCTTTCACAGCAACAGTAGTTGTGTCTTAAATGGTATTTGTTTTTTTGTGTTATTCCTGGCTTATTTTATATTTGCACTGTTTTAAAATGTTTTTTTTATGTATAGCTGTACATCATGTTGAGTGTTTTCTGACAGATGACTCATAAATTCTACAAATAAATACACATTCCTCCATTGCTTCTGTCTGTGGGGGAGCCACAATTGAGCAGCTGCTGTACGGACAATAACACCTTAGAAGAACCCTAGAGGCATATATAAGCCTGTGTGAGATGTTTTGTGTTAACTGGATGGCCCAGGCTAGCCCAGTCTCATCAGATCTCAGAAGCTAAGCAAGGTCAGCCCTGACTAGTACTTGGATGGGAGACCTCCAAGGAATACCAGGGTCATAACATGGAGGCAGGCAATGGTACACCACCTCTGAACATCTCTTGCCTTGAAAACCTCACAAGGTTGCCATGTCAGCTGTGATCTGACAACACTTTCCATCACTACAACTAGGAGACACTTACATACCCCCAACTTTCCATTGTGGCTTTGTTGCAACTCTTTCAGCAAAGTCCACTTAATTGGGAGCCCTATTCTGAAACACACACACACCACTGGACTACAGGAAGAGTGCTTACAGTCTGTCGGCCTCCAACTCGCCTAGGGTTGCCAGCTCCAGGTTGGAAAATTCCTGGAGATTTGGGGATGGAGCCTGGGGATGGTGGGGTGAGGGGAAGGGAGAGCTTTAACTCCACAGGGTTCACCCTCCAAAACAGCCGTTTTCTCTAGGAGAACTGATGTCTATAGTCTGGAGATCAGTTGCAATTCTGGGAGATTTCCAGCTACACCCAGAGGTTGGCAACCCTAAACAGACTGCTTTCAGCAGCTGTCCCACTGGTTAGGCAATTATCTACCATGGCCCTTATTAATCACCAGTGGAACATGGCCATACATTTCCAGCACCACAGTTATCAAATATGGAGGAAGAAGAAGAAGAAGAGGAGGAGGAGAAGGAGGAGGAGGAGGAAAGGGTAAAATTCTAAAAGAATTCCATTATTACCATGATCAGTAAATAATAAGGAATTTATTCCCAGGTATCCTGTCAACAGCATTGTTTTACCAACTGTACTGGTAAAGGTGATTTTCAAAAATAAACAGACTCTCCCCAGTAACAAAATATCTATTTTCATAAAGTGGTATAATGTTACTTTACACTTGGAAGTAGGAACAGTGAACGGAGAATGGTGTAAGCCACTTTGGGTGGCCACTGGGGAGAAAGGTGAGGTACAAATGAAGTAAATAAAAATAATTGAATTTATCCGAAAAGAAGTTGGGGCAGAAGCTTCCTGATCATTCTGCTATTTACTACGTTTTACATGAAACTTAAGTGATGCTTCATTTGAAAAATACAATAGTTATAATTACTTCCAGGTGCCACACAAAAATACGTAGCCATCCTACAGTCCTGTTTATATAGTATACAAGTGTTTAAATAGCAATTTGTTCTTACCATCATGATTAGGGTTTCCCAAGGTCCATGGTTCATCTGAGTCAAAATGTGTGTCTCCCCCAATACCCGGCCCAGGAAAATAAGCATGGGCCAAAAATCCTCCCTCCCCATCAAAGGGAGAGCTGTCTCCGTGGAAACCTGATGCAAAAATGATTGTAATATCCACATCCCTCTTGCCATTCTCTAGTTCAATGTAAGGAACTTCCTCAAATGTCAGAGGGGTTACATTCTGCCACACATCAAAGGCACGGCGAATGGCTTTACGGGTTTCAGCATCTCCTACTTTTGGAGTGACGTTCTTTATGCTGTAAACAAAAACAAAAAGATAACAAGCTGATCAGCAGAATAATTCTTTATTCTGAAACTACCTTTTTTGAGGTAGCAAGAACTAATATTCCTAAAGCGAGGACTCTACTTTAAAAAAAAAAGTAAACAATTGTCACATCTAAGCAGCCTTCTGTGCTAGATCTAATTTTGAATTATTTATTTGATCAACAGCAGCATAATAATCCTTTTTCTTCAGATCAGGGTAAAGAGGCCATATAAAACCATGCTAAACAGCAGGAAAACAGAAATAAATCAGCTACTGGCTGTTTTCATCTTGGGCTGAAATTACAATTAATTCAACTAAGTGACTGAAGTTCATTGTGATCAAACAGTTGTGAACGTTTTCTCTTAAAATGATACAATATCTTATTGGTTACAATTAACAACAGACTAACATCAAATGATGAACCCACCCAAGAATTACTAAAGAAAGCATGGAAATCAGCCTAAACAAGTAACTTCTAATGACCATGGAGCTATCCATTTCCTTTTAAGGTTAGTTTTCAATGTTAACTTGCTGAGTACACAAAACTGTCTAATAAAATACAACATTCTGGAAAAAAAGCCTTTTTTATATAACAAGTTTGAACCACCTATATTCTTACAGGAACCACTGCCTTAAAACACAGTCATCTTTCCTGAATAGGAACAAAAGCAGGCATATATATATTTATATAAACATAAACAATAAAACATCCAAGAGGAATGGGAGGGGCAGGTCCTGGTGTATAAAGCCTATAGAGTTTTTGAAATGCTAGAGCATCCAGAAGTGATATAAGCATGCAGGCCAGGGGTGTGCGTTTGGATCTACCCAAGCTGAAAATTTACTCTGGCCTCCCAAATGTATCTGGGTTCCCTTGGGGAAATTAAAAAAAAAATATCCCAAAACAATCCCAGATATATTCCGGAATTACTGGGTAGTTCCAAAAACAGCAGAGAGCCAGGAGCCGATTGCTCCTGCTTCTCAGCTGTGTGTCCAACTTCTACTGCAGCCCCTTTAAAGTTTAAGGATCAGCTGTGCTGGCGGGGAGCAGACTGTTCTCTCTGGCTTGTCTTGAGCTGGCTTCTCCTGCGGCCCAGGGCTCCCTGCCAGCACGGCTTTGCACTGGCTTTTTTTAAACCAGTATTTTTCAACCCTGACTGTTCCCTGGAAGGCCAGATAATGAAACTGAAGCTCAAATACTTTGGCCACCTAATGAGAAGGGAGCACTCACTGGAGAAGATCCTGATGCTGGGAAAGATTGAAGGTCAAAGAAGACGGGGACGGCAAAGGATGAGATGGTTAGACAGTGTCATAGATGCAACGAACATGAAATTGAGCAAACTTCAGAGGACGGCGGAAGACAGGAGGGCCTGGCAGGAGCTGGTCCATGGGGTCGCGAAGAGTCGGACTCGACTGTGCGACTGAACAACAACAATTTTTCTTTTCAGATCTACTGGATCCAAATTTGGGGGGGATTTCCAAAAAAATGCTGGATCTGAATATTGTGCCATATTGGGATCTGGGATTTTTGGGGGAATCCCCATTTTTTCCCCCAGGTCCTATAGACCCAAACTGAAAAACATCAGTCAACACCCCGCCCCCTGCACACACCTAATGCCGGCACACATTCCTTCCACCAGTGTCTGAGAGGTACCCTAAATCTTTTTTTTTTTTAACACATATTGGTTGCTATGTTGGGAACTGTTGTGAATACAAAAGAAGTTGAGATATGAATTTAAACAAACATAATGTTGATAAAACCAGAAGATCAAGATAAAAAAAACTGTAAAACCTTTTATAAATTAAGGAGAAAACCAATCAGCAGACTTTCTACATTGATGGGCAGTTGCATAAGCAATAGAATCCACATCCTATCTCTGTAAATTGAATGAATCCAGATTTTACAGTGTGAGGACAGACTCCATTCAGGGTCCACAATTCAAGTATGTTCCTGAGCCCAACATCAGTCAGGTAGTTGTTGTGACAGAAGTAGTGTCAATGAACAGGGAAATGCCATGGCCACCTGGCCAGGAAAGATACAACATGGGGTTATCCTAAAATACCAAAATAATCTTACAATGCCATATCTTTGGTAACTGCAAAGATCATTTTAAGAACCTAGAAGTGTTCACCAGTATGTCACCCTTCACCTTTAAAGTGAACGCTTAGCTCATTTATACCATCATGAGTCTCAAATTGGTTGGTTCCCTAGAAACTGGGGGTGGCCAGAATAAGGAAAAGTTCATTTGTGAGTCACTCTTGTCAAACAGATAAATATACTTTGTCAGTGTTAACAGACAGCATACATACACAAACCTCATCCTGCTCCTTTTTCAGATCCACCCCTTCACCAACAGATAACTTGCCAAGTAATTTCCTCCTCTTCCCTCTTCCTCCCCTATCATAGAAGCAACCCAGTATACCTCCACCTTCTTCCATTGTTCTAAAGGAAGTCTCTGTAATTTTATCAACACCTCCTCATGAATATGCATTGTGTCCTCTCATATTGATTATTAAAAATCTGATTAGTCTTAAAAGTTTTTTTCTTCCTGAACTCCATGCACAGGAAAAGACTCTGTTTCCAATATAAGACTGGAATAAGGTAATACAATGGTACTAGAGGAAATATATCTTTTGGATATGGATGAACAGATTCCTCTGGCTTTGTCCTGATTAAGATTTGTTTGATAAGAACATAAGAACATAAGAGACGCCAATGTTGGATCAGGCCAAAGGCCCATCCAGTCCAACACTCTGTGTCACACAGTGGCCAGAAATACCAGTGCCATCAGGAGGTCCAGCAGTGGGGCCAGGACATTAGAAGCCCTCCCACTGTTGACCCCCCCCAAGCACCAAGAAGACAGAGCATCACTTGCCCCAGAGCCCCTAGCTATACCTTGTGGCTAATAGCCACTGATGGACCTCTGCTCCATATGCTTATCTAATTCCCTTTTGAAGCCGTCCATGCTTGTAGCACCCACCACTTCCTGTGGCAGTGAATTGATCTTTTATAGCACACGAAAAGTAGTTTTGAGAATATCACTCATATTTTTTTTCTTTTTTGTTGTTGTTTCTCACTTATAACCTGCCCCTCCTCTGGATCAACACCTGACCTGGACAGCCCAGGCTAGTCCAAACTCATCAGATCTCGGAAGCTAGGAAGAGCCAGTTCTGGTCAATATTTGGATGAAAGACCACCAAGGAATACCAGGGTCATGATATGGAGGCAGGCAATGGCCAACCACCTCTGAATGTCTTTTGCTTTGAAAACCCCATTGGGTCACCCTATGTCAGCTGTGACTTGATGGCACTTTCCACCACCTCTAGGTCACAGGGCTCAAGGTGGCTTACAACACTGGATAAAACAATCTATACACAGAGATAAAACATACTTACAAAACATTAAATTTCAATCCATAAAATAGCATCCTAGCTCAGCATCAGAATAAAACATGATCACTTGGCACCCAACAAGCAACACCCCAGACTGCTGTCAAAAAAACAGGTGGCACTACTACTAGGTGGTAGAAGACTGACCTCAATAGAAAGCCTAGTGGAACAACTCTGCCTTATAGGCCCTATGATATTTAGAGAGATCCCACAGGGACTGGATGTCATCTGGCAGAGAGTTCCACCAGGCAGAGGGCACTATTGAAAAAGCTCTAGCCCTTGCTGAGAACAGTTGAGCTATCTGTGGGCCAGGCATCACCAGCATACCACATGAGAACAAAGTGTTCTTGGGGGGACACATAAGGAGAGATGGTCCTGTAGATATGAAGGTCCCAGTCCATTTAGGACTTTAAAGGTGAGAACCAGAACCTTTTGAGCTGCAGAAAATTGCAACTGTGTCCTTCTTATTCAGATAAACCAACAATAATAAAAAGGAGCCCTCAAGGTAGCCCTTGGTATACTGAAAAACTAACAAAAAATTCTTTCAGCACAAAAGAACTATCATTTTAAAGGGGTTGTTATCTTTCTTGTCTCTGTAGCAACACGCCAATGTGTTTCTTCTGGGATCCCCGAATCTCAGGATCGCACAAATATGAATCTATGGGACTTTTAAAAAAATCTATTCTGTTTTTAGTCTCCAGGGAAACTGTAGGGAACTTTTCCTCATTAAAGATAAAAGTGTGAATCTCTGGCTGCGGTCACATACATTAAATAATCCACTTTCAATCTACTTTCTATGCACTTTCCAAATGGATGTTGCCAGTTCACACAGTAAAATCCAGTTGGAAAGTGTACTGAAAATGGATTGAAAGTGGATTATTTAGTGTGTGTGACCGCAGCCTCTCTCACACTGTTCATCAGGTCTTGGGAACAAACCATTGTTTGTTACAAAGAGCAGCCAGAGGGAGAAGGACACAAGAAGGACCAAGAATAAATTTTGAAACCCACTCTAATGTAATTTTGGAAGCAGACGTCTTAATTTCTGTGCTGATCATTGAACTCATTATGAGACTGATTTAACATAAAAAAACAATCTTACAGAGAAGACTAGTGACAGAAAATAGGAGCATCCAAAGGTTACAGAGGAGTAAGAGCAACTCTGAAATTGGACAGGTGCACAATTTATCATTGGTTTTATTTCAAACATTAGATCATTAGATTAGGAAACTCACTGGCTAGCTTTGAAAGTGAAAACCAGCACTGAATTGTATCCAACAATGAACTGGAAGCTGGCTGCATTCTGGACCAACTGTATTTTTGAGAAATTTTAAAAACTAGTCCCACATTACAATAGCCTAACCTGGAAATCATCAGGCATGCACAGCTGTGGCCAGTTCACTCATCTCCAAGAATGGTCATCCTTGGTGTAAAAGCTGAGTAGGCAAAAGGCACTCCTGACCACAGCTGCTACCTTGGTCATCTAACAGTCATGATAGACCAAGCAGAACCTGCAAACTGTTTCATCCAAGATTGCCTGAATCATAAAGCCACCACATACAATATTGTCATGCAAAAGAATGGCTTACTGAAGCCTAATAAATAGTT